GTAGAAACAATAGCAGAGAAACTCGGCACATTACGTGGGACCTGCACAGTTCAGAACAGCAGCCATGCTGTTCCTTGGTCAGCAGTGTAAGTAAGCATTGTCTTCGTGGTTAGAACCACCCCCTATCTTTCTTCCACTCTATTTTTCTGTCACTCAATGAGATCAGAGAAATGACAGAGGCTTCTTAGAGAAATACAGGCCTTATGTCTACTCCACCTGTCATTTACACAGTTGTTCACTTGAATAAGATTTTCTTGGATTTGATAGATAATTTGCTTCGAAAATTTCTGAAATTGAGATGGAATACCTTTTTTCTTTCAAAATTATTTTTTAGCCACTATTTTCTGGAACCTTCTTACATGTTTAGCATGTATTTCACTTTTGGTCTGAACCAAGAGATTCAGTTATACTGTCCATTATACAATCACCTAAATGGTTTTCATTAGTAATTGATACATTATGTGATTTTTTACTTGCTGGCACATGCCACTGAAAAGGTTACGTATTAGCCCACTGAAAAATCTTTTGCAGTCTGATTACTGCACTTTTTTTAACATAGAAGTTGTAAATTTACAGAGCGCTATATTATTAGCATAATTTAAAAACATTAAATTTTATTCAAATACGTTTATTTTTTAAAGCTAAAGTTGCTGTGTTGTAAAGTATGGTTGTAATATGCTAGAAAAAACATCTTTTTCCATTTCTTGTAACCATTACTTTATTGTTGAGTTTTAGTTACATTAAATTCATTTATCTGCTAAATCTCTGACACAGAACTTACTTGCCATATCAGTAATGTATAGCGTTACCAAAAATACCTCCTTGGTAAAATGCTTCCAAAACCTAACAAAAGCTCCAGGAAGTTACATAGTTTTACTTTTGTGTACCCCTTTTTGTTTTATTTGGGGAAAAGACGGGGCTCTCTCCTCCCACAAACAGTTGTCATCTCAGAAACTCACAGGGCACTTCTCCCTGTCTTACGGGGTCACTATGAGTCTCCATAGCCTCAATGGCAGTGAGTTTGGATTGGTTTTTGTTCTATTACTTGGGTATGAAATAGTCATCTGTAAATATTTACAACCCATTATTCCTGTGTGGCTAATAGAGTTTATTAGCTGTTGTTGGAGGTTACTGTATCATTCATGAGGCTTATTTCAGACTCAGACAGTGACCCAGGCTATTGCAGATTTTGCAGTGCTGTGTGTGTCTCTGTCATTGTAGTACAAACCCTAACTGGTGCTATCAATTTCGCATTTTAACTCCCAATCCATGATGCCATTAGAAAATAGAGACTTTAAGTTTGCACCATATCCATGTGGTATATTGATTTTGGCTAATAGAAACTGATGTAAACTAGTCTAACTCTTGAGTATTGAGGTAGGGCAAAGGGTTCTGTTATTAGTATATAGAGAGAGCTCATAGTAGCAAAGAACAGAAGACAACTAATTTCGATGGGGCTGGTATTTGGAACTGAAAAATGCATAAGCACATATCTGTTTCTCATGGTTGCTTCATTCTGTATTAGTGCCCCTAGCCAGAATAGCTGGATGGCATTGAGTCACATATTCTCAAAAGAAAGGCCTCCACTCAAGTACTCCCTCAACGCAAGAATACTTTCTTCTATTAAATTGGCATTCTATGATGCTCCCCTTCCCGACACAACCGCTGAAGACAAAGCGGGTGAATAAGCAAATGTGGTGAAGAAAGCTGATGGTGCCCGCCTATCAAAAGATATAGCATCTGGGGTCTTAAAAGCTTGAAGGTAAACAAGCAGCCATCTAGCTCAGAAGCAACAAAGCCCACATGGAACAACATATCAACCTGTGTGATCACGAGGTGTTGAACGGATCACTGAAGACAAATGGGTGCATAAGCAAATGTGACGAAGAAAGCTGATGGTGCCCGGCTATCAAAAAGTATAGCATCTGGGGTCTTAAAGGCTTGAAGGTAATCAAGCGGCCATCAAGCTCAGAATCAACAAAGCCCACATGGAAGAAGCACACCAGCCTATGCAACCACGAGGTGTCGAAGGGATCAGGTATAAGGCATCATCAGAACAAAAAACCTTACCCTAGTGAATGATGGGGGGAGTGCTGAGTGGAGATCCAAAGCCCATTAGTAGGCCACTGGAGATCCCCTTGCAGAGGGGTCTCGGGGAGGAGATGAGCCAGTCAGGGTGTGATGTAACAACGATGAGAAATACAACTTTCCTCTAGTTCCTAAATGTTTCCTCCCCGCTCCCACTACCATGACTCGAATTCGACCTTGCAAGTGTAGCTAGACCAGAGGATGTACACTGGTACAGATAGGAACTAAAAATACAGGGAATCCAGGGTGGATGATCCCTACAGGACCAGTGGTGTGAGTGGCGAAACAGGGAGGGTAAAGGGAGAGTGGGTAGGAAAGAGGGAACCGATTACAAGGAACTATGTGACCTCCTCCCTGGGGGACAGACAACCAAAAAGTGGGTGAAGGGAGACATCGGACATGGCAAGATATGACAAAATACCAATTTATAAACTCTCAAGGGCTCATGAGGGAGGGGGAGCGAGGAGGGAGGGGAAAAATGAGGACCTAATGTTGGGGGTTTAAGTGGAGAGAAAATATTTTGAGAATGATGTACAAATGCGCTTTACACAATGTGTGTATGGATTGCGATAACAGTTGTATGAGCCCCTAATAAAATGTGTTTTTTTTTTTAAAAAGATTTGATTACTCAATTTGACTTCAAGGTTCACAGGTAACATCAGATTCAGTGATAAGAGATGGAAAACATTCACCCTAAAATCAGAAACGAGAATGATACACACCAAATTGAAAACTTTAGAGCATCAAAGGATACCAAGAGAATGAAGAGATAGTTTCCAAAATAGAGAATATTTACAAATCCCATCTGATAGAAGTTTAATATCCAGACTATATAAAGAAGTAGAAGTCAACAACAACTGCCCAAATCAAACCATGCAAAGGACTTAAATAGACCTTTCCTCCCCAGAGAAATATAAACGGCCAGTCATCACATTCAGTGTGTTCAATGCCATTAGTTAGTCATTAACCAGTTGCCGTTGTCAACTCCAGCGGCACAGCCTCATGTGTATGAGAACACAGAGTAGAAGCTCTGAATGGATTGCCAGACCTTTCTTCTGAGGACTCAAGCTTACGAGCTTTTGGTCAGTAGTAAAGTATACAAGCTTTTTATACCATCTAGGCGACTCCCATTGGTTATTAGAAAGAGACACATCAAAAACACAGCGAGATATACCGTACTATACCTACTGGGATGAGTGTAATTAAAAACAAAACCCCAAAATACAGTCTCCCAACTTCCCCAACACAACAGAAAAGAGCAAGAATGTGGAGAATTTGGAACACGTGTCCACTGTTGATGGGAATATAGAATGGTGTGCTACTGTGCAGTGCAGTTTGCTGGTTCTGCAAAAAGCTAAATATTGAATAAGGTGACCAGATTTGAACATTGGTAAAGCGGGACACCATTGATAAAACTCATATCCTGGTGAACTAGCCACATGGCAGCTGAAAACCGTATACCCTAGCTTGTCGTGCCTTCTTTTCAAAAATTGGGAATTTTGTAAAAATGCCACGGGACGAGGGAAAAATTGTTAAAAATTGGGGCTGTCCCACCAAAAGCAGGACGTCTGGTCACCTTATTATAGAACTACCCTATGACTCAGCAATTTCACTCATAGGTATATACTGAACATTTACTGAGCACATCCTGTACATTCTACAATTTGTACACATTTTGCTTTATCACATTTACATCTCATTTGCAATCCCCTCAACATTGTTTACCCCACCTTTCTGCACTTCCCATTTCCATCCCTCCTCCTTCCCTAGCTCTTCAGAACTTTGTCCGTGGGTAAATGCTGCCCTTTGGGTCTGAAATGGTTGGTTATCCTAAGGTGTGTGTACCTCACTAGTTACTACTGTTTCTCTTGTGGACCTATTTATTGTTTGTCTGAAAACTGGGTCACAGAGGTGAGATCAATTCTAGACCCGAGGGGTCTAGACTTGGAGCTTCCTTCCCAGTCTCATTAAAGTATGATTTGGAACTGTTATGCCAACTGATATTGGTGTCCTCCAAGACTACTAGTGGCCCTGGGTCCTCCAGACCCAGTTTCTCATTCCCTCAAAATGTTTGGCCATACCTAAGAAGTTTCCATAACTTTGCCCTT